TCATAGGTTGCCGACCACTGAACTAGAGTATGGCCCGTCAAAACTACTACTCCCACGACATAGTATACCTTAAACTCACATTTGATAATTAACTGCAATAAATAAATTTTGCGAAATCAAGCTTGTTTGTTTGTAGTTAAGCATAAAGCAACATAATGGGCTATCTGTGCTCTGCCCACCACGGGTATCGAAATCCGGATTCTAGTGTTGAAAGTCCACAGACATGCCGCTTTGCCATTGGGGGGGCAATTCAAACTTGACCAACAAAGAGGCAGACAAGTGCAGTCGAGGCAGTCAAACGTCGGTAAATTCCTTTGTGAGCCAATCAAAATTAAGAACATTCATGAAATGAATTCGTGGCAACTACCTTCCCATAATTGGCAGCAGACAGTAACTGTGTGTTTGGTTCAGGACATCTAACAGTTTCAAATGTGTTCACTTTTGTCGAGCAGCAAATTCTTACTTTCGTTGGTGTATACTTTAAAAATGGATTATCTTCGACGCTATTTGAAGGTTACTACACAGTTTTACAGGCCCGGCATGGCCAGATGGTTAGGGCGCTCGACTAGTAATCTGAGGGTTGCGGGTTCGAATCCCCGTCACACCAAACATGCCAACCTCCGCCTTTGCCTGGTCCCAGGTCCAGGATGAGAAAGGGGGAGGGTTGGGCGCGGGGCTAGCAACTCCACCCCGTAAAAACCAACCTGCTACAAGTAACTGCAGCAACACCTTCTGTTGGCGAGGTGTTGTTGCGGCCCTATGCTCCACTGGGAGTTTACAGGAATAAAAAAACACAGTTTTACACTACTCATGACTATATGGGTTTTTAACGTTTTTTTGGCATGTGTTGTATTTGTGTTTTTCGATTAATTTTAAGATATATATATGTGATTCTTTGAACATATATATATAATTTAAAACACGTTAAACTACGTCATACACCCTCGCACTTGGCAAAGACATCTCCAGAGAGCGCTTTTCAAGTGCATGAGATAAGATGACTCACGTTTAAGAAAATATTTCATGATTCTGCTGAAGCACATAATATTTCCTGTTGAAAGATGTTGTATAATTTGTGCTTGTGCGAAAATTAACTGAAATAAAGATCAGAGGATTAGGCCATGGCCTAAAATTAGTTTAGGAAAATGGTCGACGCAGTTTGGAACCAATACTTTGTTTATACACAAAAACAGGACAAAACTGTAACGCTTATGAAGGACAAACAAATCAAATTGAAGAAGTGGTGGAATAGCATACGATGAATAGGGATGTTTGTGAGTCAGTTTCCAAACATTAAAAAAATTGGAATGCTAGATCGGATCATCATATCAACAGACTTAAGTAATTAATCCCTCACCAGAAACAACAAGGTGTAATGACAATTATTACTGAGAGAGAGTGTAAGTGTATTTTATAATGGATTTTTAGTAGAATCTAAAATTAATTACAAAAACATATTAAAGCACTGCCCGGAATTACAAAAAACGATCCAGACGTACACAAAGAAGTAGCTAACGTCACAATTTAAAATTGGGGGATTCCTCGTTTCTGGTGTATTACTATTATTATCTTTTCGTTAATTCACTAAAACTACATTTTTTAAGTTGTTTTTTTCTCTTTAACGTAAATATTACATATATTCTATACATATATATATAGAAACTCATAATGATGAAAACAGCCACGAAGTCCACTTGTTTCGATGGGTTAAATCTATATCTTGTACAGTTGTGTACTTGAGACTTAATAATCTAAGTTTCAATTTCTAAAATTATTCTTATGTTCTGTCTTAAGACCGACTGAAATAGAACTTTAAAAAATAGCAAGTCTTGTTTATCATTAACACACAATCCGTGTTTGTTCCTTTTCTTACAGGATTCTTACCTTGTACTTGAGATTCGGTTAAAGATGCTCGATGTGCTTCCTGGAAACGAATAAAAGAAAAGATCGTTATGTTTATTAGTGTGATGTTAGATTTCTTATTAATGTTTATATTTTTAGATATAAAAAGCAAGAAATAACTACATGATTTCAATCTTGCTCAATACAGTGGACACGACTACGCATAGACACTGCAATCTTTATTGTAACAAACTTTTGTGAAGGATGGTCAGGTAAACGATTGACCACTCATTTTAACAAAATTTTCACAAACATTCCATTATATGATATAATGGACATCATCTTCCAAGGACATGGTTAAGCAAACCGAAAGACCATTGGTACTGCATTGATTTAAAGGTATATGGTCAAATGGGATTGCTGTGATTCCAGTTCATTCGGCCATTTTGTTTTTCATGAAAACATCGTTAATTTCGAGGTGTGGTTAAAAGCTTGTGAGCCTTCGTCAACTTCAAACCCTTGTTTACAATCAGGAGATACGCCCAAACTTCATTGCAGTGTTTCTTTGTAATCAGAGTCTGCACTGCGCGGATGAGGGCGTTGCTCCGAATTAGCTTGAAGTGTGGTGTTGTTGTACTGTTATGCTAGGTGTTCTAATTCCATTAAGAATAATGAAGGCTTCCTTCTTCGAAACGTTGTGTTCTTTAGTTCTACATCGTTTGACAATTCCTGTATTAATATTGTCCTTTGAAAATTTCAATTTTTCTCTATATATTCCCCCAGGTATAAGGCTAACTATGGCGGCAGGTACAAATCGTTCAAATACTGTACGATTTAAACCTCTGTATATCGCATTATTTTCATAGATTCACGTTCCTTTTTTTCCCCTTCCGAATGATTGAACTTGGACATCGAAATCACACCTTTCAACTAGACCACACCACTCTGAAGTAACAACCAGAAATTTATTTTTTAATTTAACTAACAATCAAAGTTTGGAGGTTTTACTTTCTACTGGAAGTAACAATCGGTGTCTGAAGTTTTTGCTTATTAAATATTTGAAATAACAATCACACACACAAACCGTTCAAATTCTCAGTTTGACGTGTGTTACGGCAAACTTCTAAGTACGAGAAATCAGTCTTACCTCACACCTTCTGAATAACAAGGACATAGGAACTGGGGTGCAAAAGGTTACTTAAAGTATATAATTAAGCATTGTTATTACTATGTCGGTATTTTAAAGCCATAGAAATATTATAGATGGTAACATTACATTTGATTGGCCTAAATTCTTGGGATGATTTATTTTTGCAAGCCTCGTGACCAGGAAAAAGTCAAAAATAATTTTTTTAGCAAATACACATAACGGTATTATTTTAAAATAATTATATATATATATATATGTGTGTGTGTGTGTGTGTATTCTAATAACTTAAACTTCTTTATTCACTATAATAATCACTTAAATGTATTGTCTTTGCCAGTAGTTAAAGTATAACGTGTGTTATCTTCTTGGTCGTAGTTAAATATGGTATTGTTACGTCTCCGTGTGTTA